AAGTGTTATGATGAACCTTTGATATATTCTAGCCTCGAGGATCGCTTAAGAGACATTAATTGTCGAAATCCGCATCTAGTGCATTAAAAACACTTTGAAGTGAATTAAATCTTAATATTTAGATCTATTTTTTAAGGAATATACTGACCTTTACACGTATAGTAACCACAGTTTTGTGAATTTTTCTATGATCATTAATAAACTTATCTACAAGGGGGAAAGGATTTATATAGGTAAAACAAGTGAATCTGTGAGCTACTGCTCATTAATGATACCACCGCCCGCTAAAAGTATAAGGTAAACAGGAAGTTGTTGAGTGATGAATCTGAAAACGCATCACACGGTATAGCTGACTCATATAAACCCTGAAACCAAATTTCAGAATTCCTTGTAATGTAGTTCCTGAGAAAGATGCGACGAAAAATATTCATGGGACAGACGGACGGACTGACGGACTGACGGACTGACGGATGGACGGATGGACAGACAGAGGTAAAACAGTATATCCCCACTTTTTAAAGCGGGGGTATAATAAAACTACAAGATTGTGTGTTTAAGACGGAGAGAAGAAAAATGGGCTACTTTAGCACATAAAGAAACTTTAGAATTAAATTTAATTGTTCTCTGTTTATGTGTTCAATATTATTAAAGTCTTGGCCTAGTATAAATAACTTTAAAAATACCCATACCATCCACTAGATATATTCGATCAGAATGAAAATGAGTTTCGTAATTTTCTACAAATTTTTAGCATATTTATTATTGGAGATTTAAAAAAAAACAGACTAACAAATGAATCAAGATTCCATCAGTCGAAAACCTTCTTCGACTTCGGTATATGCGACTTATCACCGGAATTTTTCTAGTGATGAGCAACACATGTGCCACTATTTCCGGGTCAACTGCGCCCACACCTACTGTTTTAAGTAGTTAAACGTACTGCTTTTATGGTTTTATCTTAAGATTTTGCGATTCTAGAATATTTTTGTTTTCAATTACAGTGCTTTTTCTATGTATAATGGTCTTGTCTTTCCTATTTCCTAACATATTGATTTTATTTCAAACTTTCATATTCAGTCATGAATAATGATAATTTCGATATTGTATTAGGTTTAGACAAAATGCATGCATGTGGACACTACGGCATAACGCCTTATCTTTGGTTGTGACTCCTCGAAAGAATTTAACATGACTTACACAACAGGATAAGTATGATTGTTCGAGCAAACATTACGCTTATTCCTCCGGAATCCGTCCCGGTTTTTGTCGGTGTCCTTGTCTTCAACCTTTAGGCTTCTGTTTGGTGTTTTGATAAAAATAAATTCGGGGGAACAGACGAACCAACGAGCAGACAGCCGTCACACTGTCTTTTAATGTAATTATCGCGGCTGACAGCAATACGATATTGCACGGAAACCAAGTTGTAGTTACACAAGAAAATAATAATAAATAATAAGTTAACGGTTGACAAGACCTAGAAAGTATTCATTGGGCTAACTGAATTATATGAACGGAAAAATTAGCACAGGTGCTATCAGAAAGTAAAGACCTCGGTTCGCCTATGTTATTTCTTGCAGTACGTGTGTGTACTTTTACTTGCAGAATAGATATCAGATTTTTTTTGAAAAAGAATGTCAAATATAGAAATTTCTTTTTATATCATTTTAACAAGTCAGACCTGCTTTACATAATCATATTAATAATTTTAGAACAAAGTTGTAGAGTTTTCAATTTCCTTATGTCATTATCACACCAATGTGACGAGGAGCATACACATGAATTTTTAAAATAAAATTGAGAATGGAAATGGGGAATGTGTCAAAGAGACAACAACCCGACCAAAGAGCAGAAAACAGCCGATGGCAACCAATGAGTCTTCAACAACAACACAAAACATTTATCAAAAATGCACAAGAATAGTTCTCCAGTTTTAGAATTATGGTAGAATGTATTGCAATATCTTTGGTTCTCAATTTTATTTATTCTTTAATCAATACAGAGTTGTCTTTGTGATCTACTGTGGTGTCAATCGTTGTCCTTCCTGGGTCTTCTCGATTGTATATTGTCCTTTTGGTTGTCAACAGTGTTCTACATTTTTTATTCTCGAGTATTTTTTATATGAATAAAAAAAGATATGGGGTATCCGTCAATGAGACTGCAATTCAACGACAATAAAAACCAAAAGACATGCTTTCTTCATCAATAATGTGTTATGCCATTAATGGTAACAAATACAAAAATAAACCCATTATCATTGGAAGGAAAATAAATAAATGCATTACGTTTCATGATGAATATTTATACAGAAATAAGTCTACATAGGAAACTAACAAAATTGCACCAGAAATAAGACAATGGCGAGGTAAACAATGAATCAATGCTACCAGCGCCAGTGTCGATGCAAATGCCACTTATGTAGAAATTTACGAGAAAGAAAGTGGACTTCTAGATTGAAACATATTTGTGGAGTCGGTTTGGCATTACGATTTCTGGTGCTTGCTAGTGGGCTTTTTGTGTTTGTACTCGTACGAAGCGAAATTTATCTAAAACCTCAAGAAAGTAACAAAATAAAGCGGAATGCTTTAAATTATCTTTCAGTAATATTGACTATGCTTTTTTTATAATGTAATAATAAACCATGCTATAATTAATATAGTAAGAACAGATTATCATTTTATTTATCTAATTTGATCAAAGTATGACAGGAAGTTCTAAAATTTTTATGACTTACACAAAACATTTAAAAACCGAACTTTCTTGATTAATAAGTGTTTGACATCAAAGAAATGTGATTAAACGATTTGAATATGATTTAAATTGAACAAAATGCGCCAAAAAATACATATAAGTGTTCGATCCCGAACGGGCCTTTTAGCGAATCATATATTAGCCGCAGGATTAATGAAAATAACAATTATAAATCGTGAACAAGAAAAATTAAAATTAAATACAATAGTTGCGCACCTGAGAAATTACAGACATGCCTCAACTTTTTTTTTTCTAATTTCTAATTCTTTTTATATCCAAAATATGTATTTAATATATTTTCAATTGTCATACTTTTTGCCAAAAAAGACTTATCAATTTGTGCCAGTAGAATCCACATCTTTACAATTTTGCATTAATATCGAATTTTTTTATTATTCTACGTTTTGCAAAATTGTTAAATTTCACTTTCAAATATTTTGATGAAGTTCAATCATCCAATAACATTAAATTTCAGTGAATCACAGTGAAATTGAGATTAAGGGTACTATGGAAACTAGGAAGTCTGTATCTTTATCTTTTTCTCTGAAATCGATATTACATAAGTTTTACCGTCACCATTACAAATCAGTTGACCGACACGAAGTGTCTATGTCTCAACTCACTAGCGACATGTTTTTAGTCTTAACTTGTAATTTAACTGATTGTGTCCTATTCCTGATTGTGTCATTTTGACATATGGCGGGTGATAAATGCATGACAGGAGATACTTACCCTGTACTCTCTTCTTTTAGAGTTCATGCGATTCCCCCAGTTTTTTGTTCGTTACCTTGATTTATCTACTTTAAACTATTTTTGAGATTTAAACATCGGTTACCTGCTGTTGTCTTAATCTAAATATGGGTCAAAGCTAAATGAAAATACCCTTGTTGGTAAACCAATTTAAATAATCAAGAAGGTGGAATTTTGAATACTTTTTGTCACAGGAGTATTTTAAAATGGCTTTTCTGAAATAATTTGGATAAATACACAAAACAATCACTAGTTGAGGTATAAAATAAAAAGAAGCACATGTGGTAGAAGAATCCGGTCACTTCAAAAGAGATGTTGTATGATCGTAATAATGTTTTCCAGATAAAAAAAAGTATTAATACAATATTTTTGTATAAATCAGCTATTTACAGACAAAACTTCAAGTTTTGTTACAAATGCATAACAAAAAAGGCAATAACGCATTAAGAAAGATAACTGTTATCGCTTTCTTTCGACAGTGGTAGTACGAATGTAATATCCCATCAAACAGTTTTACCAATTATTGTTTGTAAATGATTAGATTTTCAAAATCAAATTTATATTTGCCAGTTACATTTTTGTAAGCTTTACCCCTTATAAATTCACAATTGCCATTTTTGATTGCTGTTACTTCTGATAACCATGTAAAAATGTGTACTTTTCTTTCATTGCATTAAGAAAACAAACCTATCCGTAGGTATATATTTATATTACCCCTTTTATATTGTTTGGTTGTATTTATATTCGAGAATTTTGATTTGCTTGTACAGATTTTAGTCAAAATGGTTGTGTTACTCCCAGGGACAAATTAGTAATTTAAATGAAAAGTCAAATCAGAGAGATTCACTTTTATAATTGAATAATTTGGTTTTCAAAGAAACGCAGTGTTTGTGTGTGTCAGATTTATTTAGAACACTGAAACAGAGCAAGCGCAGTAATTATTACAGCAATTTGGGGAAAAGGTTGTTTATTTCATTTAGTTTAAGTACTAGTTTTACTTTAGTGGTATAACCGGTGGTAGTACATAATATGGCATAAGCAAATGCAATATGTTACTGACCATTATCGCCGATTCTCGCATGAACTGTCTACAAGAATCTGTCCATATAGCAGGTAAGGATATAATCCAATGTACTGTTTCTCTCTGAAAGCCTCCAACCTCGATGTATCATGCCTCAAAGACATAACTATTCAATCAGAATCAAACTAAGAAAGTGTTAGTTATAGCTGTAGTTTCTGATGAAAACAGTTCTTCCTTTTTAAAAAAAACCTCTACTATTATAACCTTAAATGCGGGATACATAATGTTTGTGTAACTGTAAGTAGTTACACAGTTAAGCCGCGTACATTTAAAGGTCTGTCATTTACTGCAATTCATTTATTTAGCAATGTGTAAGGTATATGTTTCATAATGAATATGTGAAAAACAAAACTTGTTGGATGTGATTGTGTTAAGTTTTGTTCATCTTTCCATTTCACTATTTTCTTCAATAAAAACTTACTTCTTCGGCTTCAACTGCAGAATACAACGCCATTTTGAAACCTTCTATGTAATACCAATTGTTGTGATCATTGGATTCCAGTATGGTGATATATTTTTCCTGAGCATTGTATCCAAAGGAAACAAACTGTTGGTGTGAGTCGAATAGAATGGCCGATGGGGTTTTCTGAGATGTAAATTTACCAAATTCTGCAAACCATCTGTAAGTTGCCACATCACACGGATTGTTACAAAAAGTGTAGTCCGCAGAAAATGCATATCCACAGCTGGCACTTCCTATATCTATGGCAACCACGCATTGTGGAGGCTCATTCATTGCAGTAGATATATCGTTATTATGCTCGGTTTTATATTTTTTCAGTTCCATATAAATATTCAAAATTCCTTGTACGCTATAACAATTAATGTATGATTAAATCAATAATTACACATTAATGTACCCATTGTTTTAATGTTGAATACTAAATATTTGAATATGATCTTTAAATGTTGTTTTGAATGCATATACATTTTAATATAAGTCCTCATGATTATTGATTGTAACACGAGACAGATGTCATCTGTGAAAGATAACGAAGAACGTATAAGACGCTATACTGAAGAATAACACTACCATTTCTTTTCAAATTAAGTAAAAAAAATATCTGTTATTGTCTGCTTGCTAAATACAGTTATAATTTTTTAACGTGTGGTTTTCCAATCGTGCTCTTTAAAGTTTCAAAATATATTATTTTGGCCTCGACCATCACTGAAAGGACAGCAATTGTCGAAATTCGTGTCTGGCGCAGCAGTGAAGTTGCCTTAAACTGATACCTTTTTATGTTATTAAGAATCCTTTAGTCTTACAATGAGTTTATATCTTCTATTTTTTATATTATACTAAAAACATATTAAACAAAACTAACGAACTCCAAGGTAAATTCATAAAGGGAGAAGTCTATAAACCCTGACAAAACCAAACGCTCGACTATATTAACAAAAGGGACGAATGGAAAACAACTGGCATTGAAAAATATTTTAATGTGTGTTGTAAGGCTTAGTTGTATCAGTTTGACAATATAAACTTAATAAGATATGGTATGATTGCTAATGAGAAAAGTCTCCAACAGAGACCAAATGACATAGAAGGTTGACAGTCCGTATTTCTATATCTGTATGTCTAGAAATAATTTCATTTGAATGCAGAAAATGTGATGTTTTACGGAAATAGAATAGGAATCCTTTGATTGAAATGACAACTTTTTTTTATATAATATTTTTAAAAATAAATGCAATAATTACAATGGATACAGACATAAAAAGAAATGATATTTTACAACATCAACTACTGGAAATCAATTGATTAATTTTGATAATATGCATTAGGTACATGTATGAATTTTACATTTACAATTTTACAATATGCAAGAATGCACAAAGAGGATGGTTAAACTATATATATGTTGCAGGATTTTCTGAATTTAGACATTTTGTAAAACCTTGATAGGCATTATATAAAGTGACTAAAAATACTCGGTCATTTTGTAAAATGACTGGAATTTTGAAACAAAATTCAACAAATAGCCTGTACAGTTTCAGGTTATTTGTAGAAAAAGAATATTATTGAAATATGACCAAAATCACAATATTTTGCACAGGAAATACCTAATGGTACAGTAAATTAGATTAAGTTTATTTTTCAAATTCAAGCCGGGAAAGTTTGTATGTCTGTAATAATTCCTTTTCATTGAAACTACGTAACGTTTGTACTTACTTTGTATTTCCGATAGTTATTTCATGATTTTCTTGCCATGATGACAGAAAACTGTTCTTACAATAAAACAAGATTTACAAACGAATTTTTAGAAAATCCATATTCAAAACAAAAGTGTGAAAAATGAAGCAAAGAAAAAAAGGATGTTGTCTTACTGATTGCTGTATGGTTGTGTTCAGTAGCATATATTTCATGTTTATTTAGGACGAGAATGAATTGATAATACATGTACATCAAATAGGTAAGTTCTGCAATGGATTAATCGGATTAAGGACAAGTATGTTTACTGCCACTTGAAAAGAAGGTATGTTGGATAGGGACATATGTTACCTCCAACAGGTCTCCTTTCAGGAAGAGTGCTTTTAAAAATGTTTAGAAAACGTGGCACCATGCAAGGTCGTGTTTGGGTTTGAAGTAAAGATATGAGTATCTTCATCGTCACTGAGTCAAGGACATTGTTGGCTCTTTACAATATGATGAATAACGGCGATAGTAGTTTACTGATGTTAAAAAAAATTTAAATCAAGAAGAGACAACTCAATGTGCGTCAAAAGGGTAAGTGTCTCCTGCTATTCATGCATCACCCACTAAGCGAATATCTTATTCAGCCTGGTGAATGCTCTGATAAGCCAAAAGATGTTAGTCAACCTAATCACGCTAATAATACTTTGAATCTTTTTGAAACACATCAAAAAGAAGATAGTCATGTGCGTGGTGTTTGCGAAACCCCATGTTTTTCAAACGATTAAGTTTTGACAGAGCTGAAAGTGTCATGGTCTGGGTTTCACCAAATTAGGTTGTAGTGCTAAGACCAGATTTACCATCAAACGGTGTATTTGCCCAAAAGAAATCAGGACAAATGTGCAACAGAACCTGCCATCCAAATATTTTATAAAATAACAAATAATTGTCGAGTTCAGTACTTGTGGGAATTTCAAATAATTCTGTAAAATTTTTGACAAGTAAATTGCATAAAATAGAAGCGCTAAAATTCAGTAGTTATCATAGATAAAACTGTTGTGTTGTTCTATACTTCTATGGCTTAGCTTTTGTGAACATTCCATTTTATAGAATAATTCAGGCATTTTTTGAAAAACCTTTCAATTTTTCTAGGCATTTTGTAAAATGCCTGAAAAAAGTAGTCAATATATAAAATGCCTAAATCTTATATGCATTTTTAAAAATGCCTAAAGTTTTCAGGTATTTTACAAAATGCCTGAATTTAGATAATGCCTGTAACATATATATCGTTATTTTGTACTATGGATGGTTACCATGAATATCTTCCGTTAGGAGTGAAACCGGTAGGAATAATGTAAACGATGCTTTAATAAAATTATATTTTCTTATGTTTCTAACTTTAATCACCACCTTAACGGTCATTTTTCGATCGAAGCTCCTGGTGTCTTCTTGCATTGTTTAACTAATATGTTGTTTTTTAAAGAGACGATACAAATTTGTATTGCAAGTGTTTATTCAGGTATATCATGGTGTTTCTAAATATTTTAAACAATTTAGTACTGGCAGTTTGTCGATATTATCCACTCTATGATAATCCTAGCTCTTACAGAAAACCATAGTTCTTTAGTTTGTGATTCCTTAGTTAATATATATGTTGAAAGGTAAGGATGTTTTCTTTGTTAATATTCAATTATGTGAATCATTTTTTTTTTAAATTATGGTTCTAATGATAATACCAATACATTTCAAGAGAAAGGTACGAAAACACCCAGAATATATTCGGAAATATGGAACGTAAACAGACAGCAACAGAATTCGTTGAAAACTGTATTGCGATGTGTAAGTATTATATATGAAATGCAATAAAATGAAATCTATGAATTACAAAACGTCATTTTCCAGGCCAGGAACATATTAATGACAAATTCAAATGGTAGTTTTTGTAACGTAAACTGGAAAAAGAGGGTATTTACTGGTAGCATCAGAAGTGTTCACTGTAATAAGTCCTTACGAACACCCTTCAAAGTGTTATATTAAGGGTTATTTTGTGTTCATGAGTGTGGCACAGAGAATGTGATATTAAATTAGATGTTGCTCGGGAGAATCAGCATCAGAATTTTTCACTGTTAAAAGTCCTTATGAACACCCGTCAAAGTGTTATATTAAGGGTTATTTTGTGTACATGAGTGTGGCACAGAGAATGTGATACGACACACCCTTAAGAAAAGAAGTCTTCATGGCTGGTGATTACATGAAGACGAAACATCTAAGAGAGTGGGCATCAACTCAGTGGTTGTAAAAACTCAAACAAGGCTATTACTTTGGTACGCCAGACGTGCGTACGAGATTTAAACAAAATACCAGGTGTTAAAATGGCACTGAAAACTAAACTGTGAGAGATAGGGGACGTTTTGGAAGGATACTCATAACGTATTTTGCATATCCTATCAGTCATAAAGGCAGCAGTGAATCGTATCCTATGTAAATGACGTAGATTGTTTTTGTGAAATAGTTAATGTCTATCAGGGAGAGCAGCACCTAGTAACGGTCTAGTAACTCTTCATGAAAACCGTAAAAGTACTAAAGTAAAATTCTATTCTAGTAGAAGAATAATAACTTTAGCTACTTTTACTCACACTGTAGAAGTTCGTAGTAAATTTATGTTAATTATTAATCTGATGGGGTGAATTTGTTAATGTTTATTTACCCAGTAGAGATAGCTAGAAAAAACATTCGACTATGAAACAAACGTATTATCATAATACGTATTTACTGTAGAATGATATGCACGAATGTGAATTCATTGTGTAATACAACCTTCAACAGATCGTTCATCTAACTCAAACCTTACAATTGAACATTGATTTAAACTTAATAATATTTTAATTTGGTGTATTTTTTTCTTTGTTTGAAACTATTGACTTCAGATAGGCTTTATTTATTTTGATTATATTTTGCATTAGATTATGGTAAAAGAATTTTTTTTAAATTAGTTGCGTTAGTATGCATATAACATTGTTTTGTAAACGATTTGAAACTTCATGAACATGGAGTGAATCAAAATTAACAATTAACTGATGTACAACAGCAGCAATAAAGATACACTAATTTGTATTACCTTGTGTTGTAGAAAGATTTGATATCTTGCATTCTTTAAAAAAAATATAATTACTGTGCTAATAATTCCATATTACAGACATTTTGTTTACCATACATGTAACATTTTCAATTCAAAATCTCACGTTCTGAATATTCACATTGCATTTCTCGCTTGCATGAATCGGTTTCTCCGACATTTTCTATAACCATATATAAATATATTACATTCTTTTCTTCATTTTTTCAAGTAGCTTTGGTATGTTAAGCTTTCGTTTGATTATAAGATTTTAAAAACTAATTGTATGGATACTGCTGCAAAAATCAATTTGCTTGATGAATTCATATAAATAACAGGCAAAAGCTATATAAGTAATACATAAAAAAATTAACAGAATGAACCACGAACCATACATATATTGGACAGCACAACAGGCCACAACAACTACCAACACCGATTCCTTAAAAATAGACTTATAAAGATAGACCGACAACAACAAACAGCTTATGACATGGTACCAACACATACCGTTAAACCAGTTTTG